GCAGTCGGCCACAGGCACGACGCCTCAGAACAGCCCGCAAAGTTATGCCGGTATTCGATTAGGCTAGGCTCCTAACAAAGTCGACTTCACCGTCAGATCAGCACGCCTAACGCTTCTTCAACTGAGACAGTCTTTTTATATTTCATAGCGAAGAAGTCGATTTAGAAATTCCCCTACTGATAGATAATCTATCAAAAGTTACCCCATATTCAGTGGCTTTTGAACCCGGTAGGGCGGGATGTTGGCGCCTTCGATAGCAAACGCTTTATGAGCGACACTTAGGCCGAATAAATCCGTTTTGGACAATGGTTGAATCAACTTTACAATGCTTCCTTTCGAGACCTTTGATTTCAAACGTAAACGGCACCATATGTGTTGTGCAAATGAGAATACTTGGTCTATTTGTCATTTTTGCAGGCTGTGGGCATCATTGTTATCATGATGTTCGCTTTATTTAGCCTCCTTTATCCCTTTTACACCTCTTTTGCAAGTTATACGCTTGGCGGTACCGACAAAGATATCTGTTGTCTTTCGATTAATAGGGTTCCAGAACAGCGCCAAAGTTCACGCCCGGAGACATCGGAGGGAAGAAAAAGAGAAAGAAGGGTAAGAAAATCGGCTAAGCATTAATTCCCCTAAAAATTCAGTTCCAAAACCGGAAATAAAGCCTGTGGATCCAAATGCCATCTGGGACGCCGACGAGGTACCCGAAGTGGAAGATGTGCAAGACATCTACGATCCCAGACCGCAGCCAGAGTACGTTTCGTGTCCTTTCCACTTAGTCAGTCTGCCGAGTTCTTATCCCTCGTTTAGGCCCATTCTAGGACAACAAAATTTAGTCTTTTTCCCTCCTCTGCAGGTAGGTGTACACAAATGGTTCACAATAACGCACTCATAGCTGTTCCGTCGGCGTCCCTCTTTGGTGTTAGCTGTTTAAAGTCCTATTGTTCACGAGCACCTACTATCCTGCTTTTCATCGATCAAGCGATTCCACCCAAAATTACACTGGCAGCTTGCCTGTTACGGCTATGGTCCTTAACTTACTTGGAGTTTTAACTGTCTGTATTTGCATTACGTTTCTACAATAAGATTAGAAGTGTACAGACCGTCACTTCTCAAATCTGTAATCTTTTGACTTGCCTGTGTGGGAGTTCTCATCTGCGACCTCTTGAAGACAACTGGCTGTTTTATCAAACGAAACTTGTTTCTTATTAGGTTGGTTTGGCAGATTTGCTTAATTTGAGTTGACCCAAGTGTGGGTCAACTCAAAAGAAACTTGTTTCGTATAGGGACTCATACCATAAAACATTCATCTGGACGGTCTTCTTGTCAGAAACAATATGATAAAGTCTATGGGCGTTTCAGTGGTCACGCTTCCCTTAAAGTGTCCTTTTTGGAAAGTACCTGAAGTGCTCCATGGGAACCCACTGTCTCGCTGTTCAGTATCTTAATCTTTTGTTTCTTTAGTTCGTCGGCAAGGTTCAGGCTGAACTCGGATTCAAAACTTTCATATGGCTATTACTTTATTCAAGGGAATCAACTGTTTGCAGAGTGAGCAGTGGTAAACTTTAAGGTGGAATCGGGGTTACCAGCTTGACCGAGCTACATATTACGTACAAATTATACTACTGTTCGATGTACAGCTATGGACGTTTCATAGTAGGTCGAATTTCCGCCTACTCAAACACTTCCTTGATTATGTTAAACAATAGGAGTTGTTATAATATTGCTATTGGTCTATAGGCATTTTTTGCTGACCAATGGGAGATTATGTCGGTCGTTTCTGTTCTTTCCGCATGCTTTTCACATATATTCTTAGTTTAGCAAAGCAATTACAAGCGACTTTAATTTGTTTCCTGTTGTGCACTCATCACGCTTTAACTACGCCTTAGATATTAGATATTAGCCTTGATTTTCTTTTTCTTGACGTTTTCAGATATGAAATCCTCTTCAAACAGGACGTTACAACTGAAGATATCTACCTTCAAATGGGCAACAAAACGCCAACAACGGCCAGCTGTGAATATATGGTGGTAGGTTGTTAATATTATCTATTTTCTACTAGTGGCTGCGGCAAACACCACTTTTTTGGAAAGCGGGCCGCAGTTTACCTATTCTCTATGCTGGACACCTGAAAACAGTAAAACTAACCTACTTCAACAAGTAGAGTTCGTGGGTTTTTTCAAAAATTTGACCGCGCACCAAGTGTTCTCTGTTGCTCCAACTGCCTATAAGAACTTTATGGTACCCAGTACAACGGTCGGGTGTAAGACAAGATACCTCATCCAATAAGTAACCGCT